TCAAACTAGCAAGCATCAGCATCACCCGGAAACCTCCTAGAAATGCAGGTTACAGTTACCCCATCAAACCCCACTGACTCACAAGTTCTTGGGTAGGCCCAGCAACCAGTGTTATACAAAGTCTTGCAGATAATTCTGATGTACACTGAAGTTTGAAAAACTTGGACACAGAATGTCTCTCCTGTACATTATAGGTTAGAGCAAGCTGTTTGAAACAAGAAAAATGGGCCCCAGTACAGTAGCCTTACAGCTAAAGTCCTTGCATGCCCGGGATCCCATATGGTCGTCAGTTCTAATCCTGGCAGCCCTGCTTCCCATCCAGCTCCCTGCTTGTGGCCTGGGACAGCAGTTGAGAATGGCCCAAAGCCTTGGGACCCAGAAGAGCTCCTGGCTCCTGGCTTCGGAATGACGCAGCTCCAGCCATTGCAGTCACTTGGGGAGTGAACCAGCAGATGGAAGATCTTCCTTTCTGTCTCTCCTCTTCTCTGTATATCTGCCTTTCCAATAAAAATAAATAAAACTTAAAAAAAAAAGAGAGGAAACAAGAAAAATTAGTGACCTATAAGGTATAATATAAAACAGCAAAAACAGCCTGGCCTGCTCCTCTTATCTGGTCTATGAATCTTTTGGGATTTCTAAAAATTAGAGCAACTGCTTTCAGTAAAGATACTGTCACTAAAAAGTCACTCTACCATGAATACAGAAACACATCGATCTCGTTACTCAACTATCACCTGGCAAAAAGTCTAGGTATCAAGAAAGGTGTAAGGTGGCCTATCAGGTGAAATGTTGGGCTTAAGATAGAGCCAAGTGGGGAGAGTGGCCAGCAGTCATCCACCAGGCCCACAGATGGGAAATCCAAAGACGAACTGACTCCTTTGGTGTGACACACAAACACACACACAGGGGTTGATCAAAGAAGCAGCGTATCACCACCACCCTCTCCAGCAGCACTTAACTATCTATTCATTGCAGACACAATCTCGCCCAGCCTCAGCACACAGCAGCAACTAAACTGGAAAGGTAGAAGAAGTTTGTGGATGGTTAGCATTCCACACGCATTTTGCACATCCATGTGACTCACACTCAAACTGAATGAAAACTCAGGTAAGTTCAGGACAGTCAGGCCCAGTGGGGGTGGGTGAGTGAGGGATGGCCTGGGGGAGGGCTGGGCAGGGTGGCTGATAAGGCCACACCAGCACACAGCAGCCTCCTCCCCAGCCAGCAGTCCAGCATGGACACAGGGATCCACCAAGGTTGAAGGGAGCCTGTGGCACTCTAGCAGGCACATTCCTTTGTCTCCCAAACCCCATCTCCACAGCCCCCTAATGAAAACAACCTCTCAGGTCCCCTGGACGCAACTTCCCTGGCCTGCTGCCTGTACCGGACCAGTGAAGCTTGCCTGGGAGCGCTCCAACTACAGCTTGTTTGAAGCTGAACTGTTTTCTGTGTGGATTTCCGGTTCTGAACACGACCTCCACCCTTACAGGGACCCTCTGCGGAACTGCCCCGGGTCAGCATCAGCAGTTTCTTAACATGAAGTCTGCAAAACCAGATCCTGACGTTGGCAAGCCGCAGTTGACAGGCCTTGGACTTGGTAACCTTCACAGTGTTCCTACATGTGTCATACAGAGACCACACATGCAACATTTTCCTGCTAATACCTGCAAACAAAGGTCTGACACCAGTTCTCAGAAGTTCCTTTACAGTCCTTAGCGGTCACAACAGAGGCTGAAAGCACACAACATTATACTCAGCACACGTGACCAACATCCAAACCTCTATTTTCTGAGCTTCCTTCACATATTTCACAGTGTTAACATTCTCATTATACATTCTGTTTTCCAATGACTTCCTGCATGCTCTTTAACAAATCAATGGAAGACGAAACTCAATCAACACCATTTTCTTTTTATTTTAAGCCCACTTTAAAACATGAAATAGAGATGGAAGCAATTAAAAGTTCACAGACAAGTGCCTGGAGCAGTAGCCTAGCGGCTAAAGTCCTCACCTGGAAAGTGCCAGGATCCCATATGGGCGCCGGTTCTAATCCTGGCAGCTCCACTTCCCATCCAGCTCCCTGCTTGTGGCCTGGGAAAGCAGTTCAGATCAGCCCAAAGCCTTGGGAACCTGCACCCACGTGGGAGCCCTGAAGGAGGCTCCTGGCTCTGGAACAACTCAGCTCCAGCCACTGTGGTCACTTGGGGAGTGAATCATCGGACAGAAGATCTTCCTCTTTGTCTCTCCTCCTCTTTGTATATTTGACTTTGCAATAAAAATAAAATAGAACTTAAAAAAAAAGTTTACAATTTTCCACAGGAAAACAAGCTGTTCCTCCAAGGGGCAGCAAGCGTCCACGCACAACGTCCACCTAGTGTTGTTCTATCAGCTTCCAGGTGACACCGTGACCTCGAACTAACCAGAGCCAAGAAGATTCAAAATGAAGGCTGACATTTTGTCCTTTAATTTGTTCCAAAGTACTGCAGGGGCTTTGCTGCCTGATGTGACACCATATGTGCAAACTCGAGGCACAGCAGGCGGGGTGAAGCAGGAGGCCTCTGTCCTCTGCCACGCTCCTGCATCCTGTTGTTTTTGGAGCAACTCTAACTTTAGCTAAACAGAACCCTCTGGGCAAATCATTTTTAGTAAGAGAATCTGCCTCGCAGCACAGCATGTTGTGTGTTGATTACATTTCCAACGCACCACAGTCTCTACGGGTCACAGAACTCACTGGCGGGACATTTTTACAGCATCTTTATGAAACCCATCCGTTCTATGAATTTAATACAATAAAATGACCTATAAAGTATGTTTTTTTTTAATTTTTACAGATAAAACCCCAAACAATCCTCAAGTGAACCAAAGGAATTTTTCTTAAAGCATATTTTGTTCTTATCTTTCACTGAATGAGTGACTCCCAGCAAATTATCAAAACCTTTTCCATATTTCAAGCTTTTTTTTTAAAATTCCAAATTTACTCTTAACTTTGGAGACAGGCATATGTAGTTAGTTGTGCCCTCAAGAAGTTAGAATTAGAAAAATCTCTCAGTTTTATTTTCAGAATTAGTTTTGCCAGATATGAAAAATACTTATGAGGACTAAGAGAAAAGCAACTGCTAATGACAAATTATATCATTTACCTCATGTCAATAATTCTTCCCAAGCTGGAGTTCATGAAGAACATACATTTAAAAAAAAAAAAAGCAGCTCTTTTAAAGCTATATATAACTTCCCCCAATTTGTTTGTCCCCTTGGGTATTCTGTAAAGTAGAGCATTTAGCTCTATGCAATTCAAAAAAATCTATACATAGCTTAGAGAGGTGAGCATAACTCTCTTGGGCCTCACATTCACTTCCTGTTCCCTTCCTTCACTACACATTTAGAGATAATCAATAAAAGCTGATTTCTCTTTGTAAGCATTTTCCCATTCTGCCAGAAATAACAGCAGCCTCTGCCCTAAAATGAAGAAAAACTGGTAAGTAGTGTTTACCATAAGAGGAGAAAATAAAACTGCCTAAGCATTTTTCCCAAGCCAAGTGAAACAAACAGTGAACCAAAGTTTATTCTTAAAGGAAAAAAAAAAAAACAAACAAACAGGCAGATGCTCCTGCTTTAGTGCTGCGCTCCAAGGCTGTGATGGCAACAAGTTTCCAAGCTCTGGATTTCTGTTTCTACTTTCCGAAACAACCTTCTGTTTCCTAACACAATCTCCATGCTTGAATGGTGTCAGGGTTGTACACTGACAAAGTGAAGTGGGGAAGGGCTGTCCCCCAAACTGCTTCCCAGGACAGAATGAGATGCCAAAACTCACAGGGGCCAACACAGAGGAAGAAAAGGTGATACTGGCTCAAGAGATCAAGAACTGCAATGAAGTCGATCTCATGTTTTGAAACACAAAACTTTCTGCCACTCTCATTTTCAGCAGACGAGCACAAGACTTCAGCCATTACTGGGAAGTTGAACTCTCAACAAGCGGAAACGATCCATCGGATTGTCTAACAAGCAGAAGCTAGCTCACAACTCTCCTTTTTTAATGTCGTCGTCTTTTTCTGAGACATCGCAAAAGGCTGAGAGACAACACTAAGGAAGAGCAGTAGACTTTTACTTTGCAAAGAAGTTACAAATCCATTTTCTAAGTGTTCCAGGTTTCCTATTTCCTTCCACCCTGCGCTATCTACAGACACCAGGGCAGATTGTAAATCAGACAAGTCTAGCCAGTCAGATTGAAGAATGGAGGTGAAAAGCACAGTGGAAAATATAGAAAGTACAATTAAAGCCATATGACCTGAGATATGGAAGCAATATATGCTGGAACAAATCCAAGCCAAAAAAAAAAAAATCAGACTATCTTTGGTGTTAGTGAAACTCTGCAGAACCTGTGGCACAGTCACAATCTCCACTGAATACTATACTGTCCCCTGCCTCGTGCACAGCGCAGCCAGAGACGTCCTTACATGGTGCTCCGTCCCCAGTTATCTCAGCAGCACAGCTCATCTGGCCTTGCTACTACAAAGCTCAACCCTCATTTAAAACAGCAATACTTACTACAAAATGTTTAAGATTGGCCACATCCACCAAAGAGCAACACAGACTTAGGACAATAATGTTAAATCGAAATCCTTTTGTAGTTTTCTATGAAATCTTTTGGCTCTGAACACCTGAGTCTTCCAGAAAGACAAAGATAATCTAATCGCCTATGGTTGAACACAAAGAAGAAGCCTCAACATCCAAACTGTCTTCGTTCTTACAGAGTGAACAATCAAAATGCCACTGTCTCAGTGGTACTTAGTAGGCCAACAACAATACATTTATATGGATGTGAAAAAACTAAGACCTCCTGAAACTATAAAGTAATTATGACCAAAAAAAAAAAACTTCGATTTTGGCAGTTAATCGCATCCCAAGTGTCCATCACAGTAACCTTTGCAGACAGCTGAAACAACCTTTTCACAGTGCACTGAGATGCTCGCAAACAATTCCAAGTTTAGCAAGTCACTTACCTCCCAGGAACTGAATTCCTCCAGCCACTCTTCCCACTGTCCTGGAGATGAGCTCGGACACACAGCAACCCATGAGGGCAGTGAGCGCCACCAGAAGGAGCAGGCCACAGCCCAGGCCGGTCACCACGGTACAGATCCTCCACTCCGCACTGGGGATGCCCTGGAAGGAGGCATAGCGCCCACACTCCTCCACCATCACCATCATCTGCCGACTCTCATCATGCACAGGATATGAGCACCTCCGGAAAGTACCGAAAGAAACAGGCTTGCCCAGCTGGGATCCCCAGAGCCAGTAAGGCATGAAGAACCCCACGCAAGAGGTGGCGGCACAAAGAAAAGACAGCAAAGCCCAGATCACCCCGGTACAAGTCAAACTGGATGCCATCTTTCACCAGATGGGGGCAACCAGGACGGGGGAGCCAATGTTAGGGACTGCCGCTGTGAGGGCAGGTGCAGGACCCCGGAAGCTTGCCCGTAATCCGCGGTCCTGGGAGGAAGCTGAGTCTAAGGAAAGAGCTGATCTTCAGTCTCACTGGGCATCAACTTCCCATCCTCTGCAGCAAGGAGGCTGATCCCTGGGAAAACAGCAACAGGAAACCCTAAAGTTAAACACTTGCCGGGATGTCACAACCTCAATCACGTTAGCCCACAGGTCCCATGAACAAGCATTGAGATGTGCCTCAACACTTCAAAACTGGGAAGAACTCGTTCTCTTGACCGGCTTTTCTGTATTTGAAGTTTGATCCAACTCATTCCAGGCTTTTCCCTGCCTTTATCGCCTGTAAATGATCCCAAATTAACTCTGACAGCTATTTACTTAAAGAAATGCATGACTTCTATTTGCCAAGCCAGTGGATTCATCTCCTACACTCACATTAGCAGTAATGTAGCAGCTGTACTGGCAGTAAACATGATTCAGGACATTAAAATAAAATGAAGCTCACCGCGGTTTGTTTATTTGGCTTCCAAGTTCATGCTAGCAGACTGTCACAACTCCTCCCCGTCTCTTCTTTTGGGGGTTGTGGAGAGGTCTTAACCCTCGGCATGAGCCCCAACAAAATAATCAGGAAAACCTTTCACCATGGCAGAATGCCATCAACTTAACCAACACTATGTATCGTGCGGTCACACAGACCAGACAGCACTACTGTGTCACAGCCCACTGGTGGTCCCGCGGGTGCAACACTTCCCTCCGTCTCAACTCCTGCTGGCAACACGAAGCCTGTGCGTGGCTCGCAGTCTTCTCTGCTACTTTGATTCATTGGCCCCAATCATTTTACACGAAGCATTCCTCCTCCCCATCATATGACTTTCTCACCAGAAGATAACTGGTAACTATCAAACCCCAGTCATTCAACTGGTTCCAGGCACACTGGCTTCCACCCGTGTACAGTGTCCACAAAGAAACACACAGGCCGGAACCCATGCACCCCAGAGAATCCAACGTTCAGTAACTACCGCCATCCCCCGCCCTGCCCTTACTCTGGTGCTCCAATTTACTTGGAACTCCAGCTACTTTATTCTTTCTGCTTCCCAATCTCCTCCCTTCCCTAACACAACCCCCCCCCCCCCGCCCAATCTTGCTCTGGACAGTTTAAGTTAGTCTATCCCCACCTGGAAGCTGGGGGAAGACCGCAGGGGTGGTATTGGCGGGCAAAGCCCCCCTCAGCTCCAGCCCAGGTGAGGCGCTGTGGACAAGGCACTTTCAGCCCCGCAGCTGCCTCTCTCACCCACCCGACCCTTGTGTAAACGTCCCGCAATTCCCCAAGCGGGGGACACAGAGCCATGCGTTTTCCAGCCGGCTCCTGACGGAGAGAGGAGGATGAGGGTGGTGAGGCGGCACCCCTCGCAGGCGGTGCGCACAGCCGGTGCGGCTGGCCAAGTCCGGCGCCGGGGAGCACCCTAGCTCCGGCGTGAGGGGCGCGGGCAGCCCCGCGGGTGGTGGCGGAGCTGCTGGGCGCTTCACTTACATAGCCGGCGGGGCGGCGGCCACCTTCTCTCTGCGTCCCGGGCGCGCACACAACTTGCGGGAACATCCACGGCGGAGAAGCCCGTGCTTCCCTCCCTAACAGCTCGCGGGGGGCCCTGTCCGAGGCTTGAGAGAGCGGCGGCCGGACCCGCGGGGACCCCAGGGCGGCGCGGCGGCGTGGCGCGGCTCGGCGGCGGCTCGGGCGGAGCGCTGTGGCCGCGCGCGGGGCGCCGGGGCTCGCACGCGCAGGAACCGCGTTCCCTTTGGCAGGCGAGGCACGCACCGCCTCCTCCCGGCGGCGGCCGGCCCTCCTCCTTCGCCTGTCCCCTCCCCTCGCGCCCCGCGGGGCCAGCGCACACCGACCGGAGGACTCGGCCGCCGCCCGGGACGCCCCCAGCGCGCGGGAGGGGCGCGGGCGCCGGGCCTCGGTGCGGACAGCCAGCGGCCCCCGGCTCGCCAGGCCGCCCGCGTCGCACTGCCTCCGCTTCCGGGGCTGAGGAAAGAAGTAGCGAAGAAAAGTTGGTTTGGGGAAGAGTCCACGCGCCCGAGGGCGCCGCGGAAGGCCGACACACCGTCCTCGCTCGCTTTTCCGGGCCAAGTGTGTGGTGCTGTAGGCTGATTTCCTTGCCGTGCTTGAGACGCGTGGGGCCCGGGGAGGGATGGGGCGGGGATGCAGGGTTCAGAGTAAAGAATGGGTAAAGGAACCTTTTAGCGCTTGGAGGACGTGGCCACTCCTTGTGGTCACTTAGCGGTCGGAACGTGGAAATGAGACCAGAATCAGAGGCCAAGGAATCTGTGGGGACAGCCGGCTTCCCAGACAAGGCGGGAGAAAGGCAGAGCAAGCCCTCCTTGGGCTTTCTCCCAAAAGCATTCTTTCTCTCTCTCTTTCTCTCTCTCCTCCCTCCCTGTATCTCCCCCTCCTTCCCTCCTCCCATCCTCTCTCCATTCTTCTTTCTAATAGACCTTGCAGTCCATATCACCACTGGATTTCTTTTCTGAGAAAAGAACTCTTTTGGAACTCCCCCCGCCCCTTGAGCTTGAAGCCCCTTTTTTCCTAGGCGAGAGCACTAGCCCCTTGGGAAAGCCAGATAGGGTAGATGAGTGTGGGAGTCTGCTGCGGATGTTTTAAGAAGCACACCATCTGGGAATAGCAGTTTTCAAAGTAGACACTGCCCCAGATTGTTTGTGATGTGCCTTTTCCAAATAGGTCTAAGTAATACATGGATAGATACATATTTCATAGCAAATGGTCAAACTGGGCCATTTTTATTAGCCATAATGTTGTGCAAGTCCCTCCCCCCCACACACACATTTACAGCTGAAAGTGTGTGTGTGTGTTTCAGTATTATCGTGAAAGGCTTTAAGTGAGACTTCAAGTCACTTTAAACCCAATTCTTTTGAGATCAAAGATCTTTTTAAGAGCATGATAAAATAAATAAATAAAAGCATGGTGACACTGATGCTCCTCCCCCAGGGGTGGGGAGATACAGAGATGTCTTCAAAGCAACAAGGAAAGAAGGAACACTGCCCACCAGAGACACAAGGTGAGGTCTGGAGATGTGTTTGGATAATGGCTGGGATCCTGCTATGTGTAACACACAGGACAGACCCTGGAATTATCCAACATCAATTGTAATGACCTTGCGAAACCTGTTTCAGTGAGGTGTCAGATGGTTCCCCATTCCCGGGTCACGCATGAATCCCAGCTTTAGATCCCTGGTTTCAGCATTTGGGACTTGATTTGTTTGTTTGTTTTCTTTAATTGGTTGTAATAGTTTGTGTACAGATCAGCAGTCACGGAATACAAGGAAGGCATACTCATGGTGGCTGTTAAATCCCCAGGCTGCCACACCCTTCGCCATTGCACAGAGGTTCACAGCTACCTCATGTGGAGGCAGGAGCCAAAATAATAACAGGGAGATTCAGACTCGCCCCCACACAACCTGCAGGGGAAACTAGTCCTGGACACTTTCTCGGGCTGGGAGCTCTGAGCACTTGAATGGTGATGGTGGTAACCACGGACAGACTGCTAGTCTTGTCAGCCGGTACTCTAAGATCTGTTAGTAGAATACTTCATATAGTCCTGAAGAAAGAAAAAAGGATGTAATGATGGAACCATTATTTTATGGAAAGATTAATTTGTTCAAAAACTTAACAGCTCAAATTGTGTTTCCTGCATTGTATTAGCGTAACTGCTGCCAGAGAGATTCTGCCCACAATGAAAAAGTAAGAGTCCAAATATTTAAAATTCTGTCAGGATGCAAAATTATTTGTAAAAGCAAAGTCTGATATACTGGGACTCACAATTCTCACTTAAATGATTTAGGCAAATGATCTATCTGAGCCTTCACTGTCCCGGTTGTGGCATGGTCTGGGCAAGATCTTTCCTGATAGTCTTTTAGCTCAAGGCTTCCACCAACAGGATTACGTAGGTACCCTGATATTTGAGGAGGAGGAGTTTAGGGAACATCTAATCCTTGTCAAAGGCATGACTTTACAGATGAGCAAACAGAAGTTTAGCATCTTCCAAGCGTCTTCTAGCTTAAGCTGACCCTGAAGTTAAATATTTTATTATTGATTCAAAGCCAAAAGCCAATTCAAAGCCAGATTTTACAATCTATGGATCTTGAATTCTTTTTCAGGGTTCCTGTAAGAAAATTTTATAAGCAGAATGCTTTATAAGATCTTTAAAACCCTTGCATTGAATTTGCTTCCTCAAAGGATCTTTAAGTTACTTCCCAACCTCAAGTTCCCACATAACTACTGCTTATATATTCCTTGCTGGGTTTGGCTTCGCAGTGTGTTTGCATAGCAGTCTCACTGAGTCATAACATGAGATCATGAATGTGAAAGCGTGTGGTAAACCATAAGGTGTTTGTGAAACCCTCTCGCTAGGCTACCCAATATTAATTCACAACCTTCTAACCCTAGCTCACCATACTTTAAGACTACTAGTGGCCACTTGACCTTATCGTAGCCACTGAGTCTGCAAAGCCTCAGGAGACAGCTATGTTCTCTGACAGAGGCACGGGAGAACAATGCCATCACTGTCCAGGCTGTCTTTGGATATGTTCTTAGACGATGAGATGTTTGGAATGGTGGGACAGCTTTGTAAGCATGACGGGAATCACAGGACCCTAATCCCACGACCCTAACATTCACCTGTTGTTCAAAATTTTAGAGTCTTAATATAGTTTACAGCACTGTGAATTGAATTTTCTTTTAGTAGCTGAAAACATTCCTAATTGTAACACAGTCTACGGATAAGATGTATACTCCATGACTATGACGACACACATGTACGTTAGCCTAATATCTCAGGGCTTGACAGGAAGGAGTAGATAATCAATAACTGAACATTACTTGGGCCATTTGATAAACAAATCAGTATCATTGTGGTGATTTTCCTTGTTCTG